AGACTTCCATTTATTCTTTTAAACTAAAAGTAAACATGGAGTTTAAAGTAGCATGGAAACAAGCTTTAAATGAAAGGAATAGACCTGAGATACGTTAACACTTCCTAAGAGCAGAAGCATTAAAGATGAGTAAGAAAACAGAGTTGTAGAGGGTAGATAGACATGGAATCACTTTCTCTTTTTCTTTTTCCTATGAACTTAAAGGGAAAGTAACTAACTAATGGTGAGAAACCCTAAGTTGAACAACACAAGTGTAGCTAAAAGAATCCACTTGGTGGCAAACCCAGTGAGAAACTTATAAAAGCATTTTGTAAACTTTGAGATGAAGTTAATATTAAGGCTGAATTACCAAGAATTGCAGTTGAGTCTCTGTTAAGGGCTTATTGGAAGAATTAAGGATTAAATTAATGATACAGTAAAAATTTATTTATATTTCTTTTTCTACATTAAATTAAATTTTTCCAAATCTGTTTTGTTTTGTGCAGGAAAATCTTGCAGAACAAGCAGAATAGGGAACCTAAAATGCAGAAGAAAAGAAGGTAGAATGATATTTTATTTTATAGCTTAATGTTTTAGGCATTGAACTATACATTTTTGCTAGTTATTTAGTTAGTGTCTTCCAGCTCCCAATATCCTCCTTTATTCCGCTTTGTGATGCTGGAGAATAGGGAGCAGTAGAAAGTAAGATGCAGGAGGGAGACGAAACTTGATCCTTCTTGTTTCTTTATTTTTCTTGGCAGTATGGGTTCAGAGCAATTTGTTGCAGTTTCCTTATTTTTTTCCTCTGGTACTCCTAGGTCAGCCCCATTGTGCCCCTTCAGAGGGAATAGCAGAAGTGGGGCAATGCCTCCTTGTCCAAGCTTCTAGATTCTAATAGTCCAAATTTCTTCTCCTTGACATCTGGCCCTCGGGGGCAATAGGAATTTCTTAAAGTTACTCTTTCTGTGTTTTTTTCTAGATCCCTTTCCATTTGTACAGTTCTCTAACATCTTTTTAAACAATTTCTTACATTATATTCTCTGTTAAAATAATTGATATATTTATGTCTTCCTGATTAGCCTCTGATTGATACCACTCTTTATATAAATTGTATATTGTTGTTGTTGTTAGGTGCCATCAAGTAGGCTCCAACTCACAGCGACCCTATGTACAACAGAACAAAATACTGCCTGGTCCATCGCCATCCCCACAATCCTTGCTATGCTTGAGCCCATCATTGCAGTCACTGTGTCAATCCAATCTCCTTGAGGGGTTTTCCCTTTTTTGTTGACTCTTTACTTTGCCCAGCATGATATTCTCCAGGACTGTGTCTTCTGACAACATGAATCAAATAGGTGATACAAAATCTGACCATTCTCACTTCTAAGGCACATTTCAGCTGCACTTCTTCCAGGACAGATTCATTCATTCTTCTAGCTGTCCATGATATTTTCTGGATTCTTTGCCAACAGCACACTTCAAAGGCATTGATTCTTAAGTCTACCTTATTAATTGTCCAGTTTTCACATGCATATGAGGTGATTGAAATTAACGTGGCTTGCATTAGGGTCATCTTTGTCTTCGAAATAATATCTTTGCTCTTAAACATTCTAAAGAGATTCCTTGCAGCAGATTTTCCCAGTGCAATAGGATGCCTAATTTCCTGACTGCTGCTTCTGTGGGTGTTGATTGTGGATCCACATAAAATGAAATTTTGACAACTTCCATCTTTTTTCCATTTATCTCAATATTGCTTATTGGTCCAGTCGTGAGGATTTTTGTTTGCTTTATGGTGAGGTGTAATACACAGTGAAGACTATAGTCTTTGATCTTCATCAGTAAATGTTTCAAGTCATCTTCACTTTCAACAGGCAAGATTGTGTTATGTGCTTATCATGGGTTGTTAATGATTCTTCCCCCAATCCTAATTCCACATCCTTCTTCATATACTCCATCTTCTTGGATTATTTGCTCAGCATACCCATTAAGTATGGTGAAAAGATACAACCCTGATACACACCCTTCCTGATTTTAAACCATTCAGAATCCTCTTGTTCTGTTTGAACAACAGCCTCTTGGTCTGTGTTCTTCCTCATGAACACAATGAAGTGCTCTGGAATTCCCTTTGCAAGGAAATGTATATCTATAAATTGTATGAATATATAAATCATCCATTTTATAAAGGAGTAAACTGAAGCACAAAAAGGTTAAGTAATTGCTCAATGTGTCATAGCTAGTGGGGTTATATATCCATGGTTACAGATCTGTATGTTCTAATCCTTGCTAATATTCCAACCAGAATCAAAGACATAGGAGGAAAACTTTGAGAGATGTGTGGTGTCAAATTTTAAAAATGTTAAATATTAATTTAATAATGTTGTTGTTGTTGTTATGTGCCATCAAGTTGGACCCAAACTCATAGTGACTCCTCCTTGGGTTTCCAAGGCAGTATCACTATGGAAGTAAATTGCCCAATCTTCCTTCGAAAGAGTGGCTGGTGGGTTTGAACTGCCAGCTTTCTGGTTAGTAGTCAAGTGCCTTAGGCACTATGCTACCAGAGCTTCTAATTTAATAATAAAGAATTTAAAATAATATCTTAATAATAAAGACATTGGGATTCTGACTAATTCTGTTTATATACATGTACACACACACACACACACATATATGTACACACAAACATATATATGTATATATATATATTCCTTTTTTCCCCCTTCCAAATCCCTAGTAAGTTGACAGAGAAAAGATTTAAAAAAAAGAGACAGGAGTCCATAAGGAGAAAAGATGATAGCAAGTCAAAAATACTAAGAAAACTATGGTTAGAAAGCAAGTGAACAAATGGGACAGAGAAAAATAAGTCTAAGTCTACAGTAGAAAAGCCATAGCTTACACTAATCCATAACTGAGAACATCAGAAAGGTTCAGAAGTGAGGGGCATCAGGTTACTATAGAGGTGGTACTGAAAACAGCAGGGTTTCTTGACATTTTTAAGAGTAGTTAGATCCCCAGAGTCCTTTTCCCACAAGTTACAGCCCAATGATTGCATCTCTTTCCAAATCAACAGAAAGACTGTGACTTAAAAGTGCAGTCAAGTTTTGGTAATACTGATGTCCTGTTGGCCTAAATGAGAAAGTGGTTTGTTTGGAAGGATAGTAGAAAATTGTGACATTCATGGGTTTAAAAGTGAGTGATAGGGACGGACTTAAATGGAGCGAGTGAATAGTTGTAACAAATGTTTTGGAAGGAATAGGATTCAAAACAAATGTCTTCCATACAGATAGTTTTTCGAAAAGAAAGCAAAGACAGGTGAAGGTGTTTGGAAAAGAGCATTGAGAGATATTATTTCTAGGAAGTAGCGTATTCTCTAGATGATGAGACAAAGATGAGTTTAAAGATTTGCAAAGAGCCATGTTAGTTTGAGTAAGCTGTATTTATAATGAATCAAAACAGGAATGTGCCTAAGACATTTCCTAACCAGAAGGCTGGCAGTTCAAACCCACCAGCCACTCCTTGTAAGGAAGACTAGGCAATCTACTTCTGTAGAGATACCACCTCAGAAACCCAAGGAGGGGTCATTATGAGTCAGAACTGACTCCATAGCAGTGAGTTTGGTTTGGTTTACACACCATTTTTCTACCATTTGTTATTATTATCCTAAGCAAAGAAAAAGGAGCTCTGGTAATACAGTGCCTAAAGGTGTCTGACTGCTAACCAAAAGGTTGCTGGTTCAAACCCACCAGCCACTCCACAGAAGCAAGACTGGGCAGTCTACTTCCATAAAGATTTACTGCCTCAGAAACCTAATTGGGGGTCGCTATGAGTCAGAATTGACTTGATGGCAGTGTGTTTGATTTTAGTTTAAGCAAAGAATGACCCCTTAAATACACATAACACAAGTCACACATTTCTGGTCCTCAAGTCAAATTTAACCTTCAAATATTTTTTATTTTTAATAATTATTATTGTTACTAGTTGTCAATCATTTGAAACTTAGCAACTTTTATTTTAAAAGTAATACTACCTGAAAGCTTCTTCCTGAAAGACTGGATGATCCTTCAACACTAGATATACATTTCAAAATGTAGCTGAGTGATGGAAATTTTCATTAAGTGGAGTAGGTGTTCCCTAATACCCGTCACTAATTTATGTTACCTTTCTGACCTGTGCAGTTATTGAGTTTGACAGCCATGATAAACTTGTCTTTTGAGTATCATAAAGCCAATTGTACAAAATTGAGTTGTGGTTATTATTTATATTCCTTCACATAAAGTAATGCATCTCATGAATTTCCACCCAAATCACAAATAAATAAATAAGAAAAGAAAAAGTAATGCTACTTCTTACCCATAAATATAGAGCTTCAAATGAAGTACGGGAAAGTGCCATTTTAAAAATGCTTCCAATATTGGATGTATCCCTCCACTAAAAGCTGCTAGACCTTCTAGAATCATTGAAATTTACCCTCCTAAGCTCTTCTGCCAAAATGAAATCTCTTTCACTCAGGAAGCTCCTCTGATGTCCACTAAAGGCAAAGCCACCCTGAGATGACTGTCTCTTCCAGACTTGTTTACATACAGTAATTTATCAAATTCATTCTTCAGACATAGTGTTTGATTTGGCATTGATTGATTAGAAATCACAAATCAAAACGGGTGTCATAACTTCTTTTATTTGACTAATAGTTATTATAGGAGTATCAGCTAAGGCTCATTATTCTTCTTTTTAAGAAATAACTCTCTATGTGACTCACTAATAGTTTGTAGTTGATCTTCATCTAATTATCCAGTTAATGTCAACACTCTGAGAATCATTTATAAAATGTGCTCTACGATCATAAGGTATGAGTCAATTAGGAAAAGTATTAGCCATGTTCTTGAAATTTTAACTGGTGAAATCCCTCAACTGTGATTAAGAACTGACTGAAAATTGAGGACTAAGACGTAACTATTAAAGTGCTTGCACCAGGATAACAACTCCTTTCTAAAACATGTCCTCAAATTAATCACAAGAAAGTTTTCCTAATATGTAATAACGTCAGTATTTTTCTTGCAATGAACTTCTGGCATGTGGGCCTCAGTTTCTCTGGGTCTTGTTTTGTTTTCTAATGAAATTATTTCAGTTCTTGGAGGAAGCTCATAGGGTTTTGTTTGCTTATGTAGTTTCTCTTCCCGTTTCTTCATAATTTCTCTGAAGTGATTTTTCTCTTTCAACTCTTTCTGTTTAAGTTCTTCGGCCTCACATATGGCATCTTCCTTCTGTCGGATCTTTAGCTCTTCTTGCCACTGTTACAGAGACAAAACATCATTCAGACATATGTGGAGGTAGGGTCTGCCCATTAACAATGCTTTTAATTAACTGATAATTGTAAAGATTCGCTAAACCAAATAATGGCAAATGAACAAATACAAACTTAAAAATGGGATTCTACCACAAATTCACCCTTTTGAGAGGGATTTTGAAAAGAAGGAAAGATCATGTTTTTCCATGGCTTTCTCTATATCTATCTATGCATCATCTATCTACTTGTCTATCATCTATCTATCTATGTCAATTACATTTCTCAAAATGCATGTACTTACAGCCAATTACCATATTTTCCCTTTTTTTTCTGAAATTTGTCAGGAATTTTACATTTTATGTTGTGGGTAAATATATCAAGCCACTTATTAGAAGTGATATAAAACCCATTGCTGTTGAAATGATTCAGACTCTTGGTAACACCGTGTGTTACAGAATAAAACTGGGCTCCATGGTGTTTTATTTGCTGAAGTCTTTATGGAAATAGATCAGCAGGGCTTTCTTCCATAGTGTATGTAGTTGGATGGGGTCAAACTACCCATTTTTTTTTTTTTTTTTTGTTAATAGCTGAGAGTAAACTGCTTGTGTTGCCAGGGATGTTTTAGAAAACAGTATAACCTCCCCACAACCAAAAAAAAAAAAAAAAAAAAAGAGAGACAGGATTCCTTCTTAACAGCTTACAAATAGCAATTTTAAACATTTTTAAAAACAATTTACATCTTGTAAACACTTTTAAAATAGTATGCTATAGGTTTTACATTTCTAAATCTCAAGGATTTCCCTTTCTTTGTCAATACTAGTAGTTACATGAAAGCATGGGATCATAAATAAACAACAAAATCAAGATTGAGAAAACAATAACAACAAAACACACACATATATTACAAATTAAGTGAAAGGCAAAGTTTGTTATACTTTCTATGTGACATTGAAAGTGAAAGTAATGGCCAAATGCTTACTTTGAAGCAAACCTAAAGAATTCATCTCAACTGACAATGCTAATCCATGACAATAGCAGTGTATCTATCTGTAGGCAAGAGCCCTGAGCATGAGTAGGGTAGTCAAAGATGGAAGTAAATATGGCTGATGAACCAAACATCATCATGGGTAACTTTTTTATTCCTCCTGCATTTTTTTTATGAACAAAATAGCAAAAAATGTGACAAACATTTTGCAGGATAAGCAAAAGTTTCAGGGTAGAATGGCATTCTAGCATGAAATGCTGGAAATTGCTAAAGATGCTGACCTTTTAGGTACCTCTTAGCCCATAAGAAATTCTGGTGGTATAGCAGGTAAGGCACTTTGCTGATAACCAGAAGGCCAGTAGTTCAAACCTATCAGCTGCTCTGCAGCAGGAAGATGAGGCAATCTACTTTCATAAAGATTCATAGCTTTGGAAACCTGTGGGAGTTGTTATGAGTTGGAATCAACTGGATGGCAGTGGGTTTTGGTTTGGTTTATCCCATACGTATGTTGAAATAATCAAATTGAACTTAATAATCTATCAATTAATTTATAGAATACTATATACCAGTACTATAAATCATAAATCTTATTTGACATCTGCATATATAGATATTATTCATTTAACTAAACTTCAGAGTGAATATCACACTACCTTGCCAAAGGCAATAAAATTTTTAAAATGATATTCTCACATAAGAGTTAAAAAATTTAAAGCATAATAAAATATCCACTTATTTTATTTCAGTTAAATTTAAAAGCGTAAGAAATCTAGTTACCTGTACTTATCCCAACATTGTATGTACACAGCTATATAGCTCATAACACTTAGATTTCTCAGAAATAATTATTGTATGAAATATCAAGAAAACTGAAGCAAAACATCTAAAATATTCAGATACTGGCAGTAATTCATACTTTGGCTTTATTTACAAGTTCTGATACCCAACTGTGACTTGTATACTTTTTTCTTATAAAATGAACTAAATAATAATTATTTAATTTACCAATTTTATATCAAAGCATAAAGTCACAGTTAGTGTAATAATGACAGACTCTGTAAACATAACGATTAATCTTAAATGAAAGGAGCTCTGGTGTGCAGTGGTTAAAGCATTTGGCCACTAACCAACACTGGACCTGGCAGTTGGAAACCAACAGCCAGTCTATGGAACAAAGATGAGGCATTCTACTTCTGTAAAGATTTACAGCCTTGGAAACACTATAGGGCACTTCTACTGTACCCACTGGATGGCAGTGGGTTTGGTTTCAATCTTGAATGAACTAACCTTAAATGAAAAACTTTAAAGTACCTCAAAGCTTTGTTTTTTACATTGTGAAAAATTGACAGAAAATTAGTTCTTAAGAACCATCAGTAAAATAGAATTCTTTGATTTCCTAAACATCATGTCTAAAAGCAGTAATATATATAAAAGCAGCAAGAAGGGGTATATCAATATCATCCAAGAGGCAGGTCTTCTTTGTTCCCTGTTTAGAATCCAGCACGGCTGGAATTCACTGTAACATCATAATACTTCTTTCTTTTAGCCTCAGGATAAAGTAAACTTTTTCCCCCTATTTTGTCTGTACTGACAATGACAAGCTTAATTTGGACAAGCCATTGTCTTGTCTTGATTGTTTCTAGGACAATGCAGACATACTTGAAGTTGATGGAAAATGGAAGCACCATGTACTCCTTTATTCAGCCTATCCTCTCAGTGACTCAGCCAAAATGTTATTGGACACCTAGAAGGTACAGCATATTTTGATACCTGTTTAATAATGATGTATCTGCCTTATTTCTTGTATATTATATACAGACAACAAATGTCACTTGATTTAGAAGGAGAACTAAACTTTGGGGTGGTGTTTTTGCTTCTTGTCAATATTACATATTTCCCCCTCCCATCTCCAATTCTGGTTGGGTTTATAAACCAAGGACTTGAGCAGCTATGGAAAAGTGGATTTGGAGTTCAAAGATCTGGTTTTGAATGTTCACTTAGTCATTTACTAATCTGAAAACCTTGGGCAAGTAACTGAATTCTAAAGCACTAGTTTATTTTTCTTATGAGTAAATATCTCACAGGATTATTGTGAGGGTTAAATTAACTAATTTAAGACAATCTTGTAAAATGTGAAGTAAAATAAAAGTACTATTGCTTTAGCTACAAAGGTGTACACACACACACACACACACATATATATATAATTATATATATATATTAGTGAGATATGTATACACACACACACACATATCTCACTAATACTTTTTTAAATATTCAGAAAAACTTCTATAAACATTTTGAAATCAATGCTAATAGCTACTAGATGAGGTTAGCAACAAATCAAACATCTTGGACCCAACTATTTGCAAATACATTTTCAGAAAGAATTACTTTACTCTTCTTTAGCTACAATATAAATGTATATCCAGCCTCTGCCGAATTATGGTGATTATTTAGTAAGCTAATATACTGGGAAAGAGGAAAAGATGAGATTATTAGTAGCTACTTCCTAATAGACAGAGCTTTCTCTGTCATTCAAACTATTGTCCTCTGTTCTTAAAATAGTCCTAGGAAGATCAAAGTCACATGTAGACAGACATAATGGAAATATATAGATATTAATGAATTCTAGCAAGCTGTTATCTTATGCAATCTATTCTGGAACATTTAGATTACTTGAATTGAAACTACAGATGCTGCAACTTATGAACCATTAGAAAATTATGCTAATATTTTGTATATATGACATAGGTAGCATAGTGCCTAAGGTACTTGACTGCTAACCAGAAGGCTCATGGTTCAAACCCACAAGCCACTTCTAGGAAGGAAGATGGGGCAATCTACTTCCGTAGTGTTACTGCCTCGGAAACCTAAGGAGGGATCGCTATGAGTCTGTTCTGACTCGATGGCACAGAACAACAACAACAACAGTTTACCAAAAACCCTATGAGTGAGAAGTAGAACAATATTAGAGCTCTCATTTCATGATACCAGGTTATCTATCAGTCAGTCTCCAAACCTCAATACTGTAGTTATTGTTGCCCACTGCAATTGAGTCAGATCCAAATCATAGTGACCCCTCCTTGGGTTTCTGAGGTGGTATTACTACAGAAGTAGATTGCCCAACCTTCCTTCCCAGAAGTGGCGGGTGGGTTTGAACCCCCAGCCTTTTGGTTAGCAGTCAAATGCCTTAGGTGCTATGCCACCAGAGGTCCCATAGTTACTGTTAGAGTGGCTTAAATATTAGTTATGTGTTAAATAATTACTCAATCTGCACAGTAAAAGAAATAATCTTTTCTCCTTTGTTCAAAAATCATTGATTAAATGGAATGTGAAAAATTGATCATGGGAATATAATCACAATGTGAGAGAGAATTCTGCACTGCCAGTGGTAACATGAATAATTTAAATACATTCTTTATGCTTTTGGATCCACATTGTGTTTAAAAAAAAAAAAAAGAAAGAAAGGAAGAAAAGAAGTGCTTTTGTTTCCCACTGGAAATCAACTGCTAAGAAGAAGTAGACATAAAATGATGAACATTTTGTAAGAAACTATTGACTAAATAAATATAGCACAACAGCTTTCAGTGCTGTCTTATGAAAATGGTGTTGTGTTGCTACTGCTAGTTTAACTTGCACCAAGAGCAAAGTCTTTCTGATTTGTCAAGGGGAAAGAATGGTCACCAAAAATTGAGTCAAAATATTTTGTGCCATTATTAGAACTACACTGCAGAACAAGTCAGTGGTTAATGCTCAGATATCAGACTCATAAAGAAAAAATCAGTGCAGATTAAGGAAACACAGTTAGACTAGTGTTTTAAAAATGTCAGAAGGTCAAGTTTTCTCTAACCCAATAAAGGCATTGAGACATATAGGTAGTAGAATAAGATATAGTTAAGTTTGGTACTGCTTAATCATGGCCAGACTTTTAAATTATACAGTTAATGTTTCACTCTGAAAACTACATGCTCTAATTCAAGACACCTTTAAAGAATAAAGCTTTTGCTGCTGGTTTAAAAAAGTCAGTCTTACATGATGGTCAACAATTCTTGCCAACTCTTCATCCATCCTGGTAAACAGATCTGGATTTGGAAGCATGGGGAGCTCTGACTTAGAAGGATGTTCCCTTCAAAAGAGAATAAAAACAGATCCAACAGTAGATAGAAGCATTTTTCCTCCCCAGAGACAGGTAAGAATTGTAAGTCAAAATTCATTCTTAAGCACTTTTCATTCTACATTGCTAACATGAAATACTCTGTGCAAACTATTATATATATTAGCTTTTAGTTTCAATTATAAAACTGACACTTTTGAGTTTGTTGTTGTTGTTATGTGTCATCAATATCTATAAAATAACAAAAGGAAAGCTTGTCCAAGGAGTTAGTTTTGGTACCAAATGAAGTCCTAGGATATGAAGGGCTTAAAGAAGCTGGAAGTTGACTGTGTCCAATGGGAAGATGAAAGTGTTCATCATCACGTACAACCCTATGAAGTCCTGGTGAAAACCTAAGCCTAAGAACATAATGTAAGATGTGCTGAGAATTGCTGTGACATAAAAGGTTCTGTACCATATATGTATTACTAAGGGTAGAACTGTGGTAGACAATTTAGCAAGCAGCCACCTAATGAAATTGTTGGCAGTGCAGAGCTGGGACCCAAACAAGCAGAGATTTAGTGTTAAATTGTCCACAAAATAATCACATTATTAAAGTTGCTATGGAGAAATGGTTGTAGGCTAGGAATATATAAAACACTAGAATGTTGGTAGAGAATTAATTTAAGGGAGAGAAAGAGAGTTCAAAGCAGATATTAGGCAAAAGTTGGAAAAGGGACATAGTTGGCGAGAAATTTTCATATTCAAAATTTCCTGATCAATTTTTAAGACTGTGATGTCTAATATACATTTTTAAATGTGCTTTCTATTCTATTCCAGTGAGTTTTATATTCTTAATATCCTACAGTTCCCCTCATATCACCAGGTCCTATTTCTATCCTGCACAAAATGATTTTCAGATCTTCCACTTATCTTCCTCTCCACCATCACTTCCCCTATACAAATCATCATTGTCTTTCACATGGACTAAGGCCTCTTTTTAGAAATCCCTGAATCCACCATGCCTTCATGCTGTACCCTCTGTATTCTGATCTCTACACAGTACCTAACGTGATGGATTGAAACAGTTACTGCAACAATGGGTTCAAGCATAGCAACAATTGTGAGGATGGCTCCGGATGGGGCAGTGTTTCATTTTGTTGTATTAGGATTGCTATGAGTCAAATTTAACTTAATGGCACCTAATAATAACAAATATATATGCATACATATGTATATATTATCTATGTATACATATATAGGCATGTACCTATGTATATATGTGCATATATACATGTACACATGTCTATACACATATAGGCAGCATGCATGGGCATACATATTTGTCCCCAAGTGAAAGCAGCCCCAAGCCCGATGCCCACTTACCTCAGGCCCCGGCCTTAAAAATGTACATATGAATAGCCCTGAAACATTGTCCAATATAGTGCCGGAAGATGAGATCATCAGGTCTGAAGGGACTCAAAATTTGACTGGGGAAGCGCTGACTCCTCAGGGTAGAGATGACATTAATGATATGGATAGAGTAAAGCTTTCAGTACCTCCATTGGCTGATATTGCACTACTCAAAATGAGTAGAAACAGATGCAAATGTCCATTAATAATCAGAACATGGGATGTACGAAGTATGAATCTAGGAAAATTGGAAGTTATCAAAAATGAAATGAAATGCATAAATATCAATATCCTAGGCATTAGTGAGCTGAAAAGGACCAGTTATGACCATTTTGAATCAGACAACCATATGATCTACTATGCCGAGAATGACAAACTGAAGTGGAATGGTATGTCATGCATTGTCAAAAAGACTGCTTCAAGATCTGTCTTTAAGTACAATGCTGTGGCTGTTAAGTTTGTGTGTCAACTTGGCTGGGCCTGGTTGGGTAGGTGGGAAGCTGGTGGTAGTTATTCTCCATGATGAGACTGGCAATCAACTCCATGGCGGGACCTACCACAAGCAGCTGAGTAGCTGCTTTAGGGATATGGTTAGCTTCCTGTATATAAGGTGAAGCCTTGGAGAATGGTCTCTTGTTTATGGCATGCTTGAACCCTGCATGTAGCCATGTTATTGTTCAGCAGCCTACCATGCTCACCTGACGTGGGGACTTTCAATGGATTAGAATTAATGGCCTGCTCTGTGGTTTGGTAACATCGGGACTATGCCATTTTATTTGCCATCCTTGGGCTTATTAGCCTTAGTAGCCAGTAGCTGCCTGAGTAAAGAGATGCCTCTAGCTTCAGTGGGCTGGGAACAAGAGGCAGAGCTGAAGCCCAAGATCGAGGGGCTTTCACACAGCCCTAGAGTCTGGAACTTAGAACTTGGAATTCTAGCCTCCTGAACTATAAGAGAAAAAAATCCTGTTTGTTCAAGCCACCTCATTTGTAGTATATTCCTGTCAGAGTGGCACTAGGTAACCAGAAAAAATGCTGTCAGTGATAGGATAATATCCATATGCCTATAAGGAAGACTAGTTAATACTACTATTATTCAAATGTATGCACCAACCACCAAAGCCAAAGATGAGGAAATTAAAGATTTCTATCAACTTCTGCAGTCTGAAATTGACTGAACATTCAATCAAGATGTGGTGATTATCACTGGTGACAGGGATGCAAAAGTTGGAAACAAACAGTTACCAGTAGTTGACAAACATAGCCTTGGTGAAAGAAACAATGCTGGAGATTGCATGATAGAATTTTGCAAGACCAACAATTTACTCATTGCAAATATCTTTTTTTCAACAACACAAATGGCAACTATATACATGGACTTCACTGGATGGAATACACCGGAATCAGATTGACTACATCTGTGGCAAGAGATGATGGAGAAGTTCAATATCTTCAGCCAAAACAAGGCCAGGAGGTGACTGTGGAACAGACCATCAACTGCTTATATGCATGTTCAACTTGAAGTTGAAGACAGTTAACACAAGTCCAGGAGAGCCAATATATGACTTCATCATATCCCTCCTGAATTTAGAGACCATCTAAAGAATAGATTTGATGCATTGAACACCAATGACCAAAAAACAGAGGAATCATGGGATGACATCAAGAACATCATCTATGAAGAAAGCAAAAGGTTGTTAAAAAGATGAGAAAGGAAGAAAAGACCAAAATAGATGACAGAAGAGACTCTGAAACTTGCCCTTGAGCAGAGAGTAGCTAAAGGAAATGGAGGAAATGACAAAATAAAGGAGCTGAACAGAAGATTTGAAAGAGCAGCTCGAGCTGAAAGAACTGAGGAAAAAATTTAAGCTCAAGTTGCAATATTGAAAGATTCTATGGGCAGTATATTGAATGATGCAGGAAACATCAAAAGAAGATGGAAGGAATATGCCAAGTCGCTCTGTACCAAAAAGAATTGGTTGATCTTCATCCATTTCAGGAGGTAGCATATAATCAAGAACCAATGGTATTGAAGGAAGAAGTCAAAACTTCACTTAAGGAATTGGCGAAGAAAAAGGCTCCGAGAATTGACAGAATACCCATTGAGATGTTTCAACAAATGGATGCTATGCTGGAGGCACTCACTTGGCTATGCCAAGAGATTTGAAAGACCAACTGACCCAACTGACTGGAAGAGATCCATATTTGTACCCATTCCAAAGACAGATGATCCCACAGTATGTGGAAATTATTGAACAATATCATTAATATCACTTGCAAGTAAAATCTTTCTGAAGATAATTCAAAAATGGTTGCAGCAGTATATTGACAGAGAGCTTCCAAAAATGCAAGCTGGATTCAGAAGAGGACATGGAACAAAGGATGTCATTGTTGATGTCAGATGGATCTTAGCTGAAAGCAAAGCATACTGGAAAGGTGTTTACTTATGTTTTAATGATTATGCAAAAGCATTCAATTGTGTGGATCATAACAAATTATGGATAACGTTGAAAAGAATGGGGATTCCAGAACACTTCATTGTACTCACAAGGAACTTGTACATAGATCAGGAGGCTGTCATTCAAACAGAACAAGGGGATACTACATGGTTTAAAAATCAAGAAAGGAGTGTGTCAAGGTTGTATCCTTTTACCATACTTATTCAGTTTGTAGGCTGAGTACATATCCAAGAAGCTGGATTATATGAAGAAAAATGTGGCATCAGGGTTGGAGGAAGATTAATTAACAACCTGTGATATGTAGATGACACAACTTTGCTTGCTGAAAGTGAGGATAACTTGAAATAATTACTGATGAAGATTAAAGACTACAATCTGCAGTATGGATTAAACTTCTATATAAAGAAAACAAA